ATTCCAAGAATACAAAATGGGAAAAGGAAAGTCTCTTCAATAAACAGTGCTGGGAAAACTAAACACTCACATGCAAAAGAATGAAATTGGACACTTATCTTACATCAGACACAAAAATCAACTCAAAATAGATCAAAGACTTAAACGTAAGATCTGAAACCATAAAATTCCTGGAAGAAAATATAAGGGAAAAGCTCTTTTTTTTGGTGAGGAAGATCAGCCCTGAGCTACCATCTGTTCCCAATCCTCTTCTCTTTTTTTGCTGAGGAAGATTGGTCCTGGGCTAACATCCGTGCCCATCTTCCTCCACTTTATATGGAATGCCACTACAGCATGGCTTAACAAGCAGTGCGTCGGTGCGCACCCGGGATCCGAACCTGCGAACCCTCGGGCCACCGAAGCAGAGCGCACGCACTTAACCACTGTGCCACCAGGCCAGCCCGGGGAAAAGCTCTTTGATGTTAGCCTCGGCATGATTTTTTTTTTTGGATATGACACCAAAAGCACAGGCAACAAAAAAAAAAATAAAAATAAACAAGTGAAATTACATCAAACCAATCCAAACTAAAAAAGCTTCTGCACAGCAAAGGACACAATCAACAAAAAAAGGCAACCTACAGAATGGGAGAAAATACTTGCAAATCACATACCTGATAAGGGGTTAATATCTAAAATATATAAGGAACTCATACAACTCAACAGCAGAAAAGCAAATAACTTGATTAGAAAATGCATGAGAGACTCGATTAGACATTTCTCCAAAGTCGTTGTTAGTGCCATCAAGTCGATTCCAACTCCTAGTGACCCTGTGTACAGGAGAGTGGAACACTGCCCAGTCTTTTCGTGCCATCTTCTCACCTTCCAGGCTGTATCAGACCACGCTCTGCTGCTATTCATAGGATTTTCACAGCCAATTTTTTGGAAATGGGTGGCTAGGTCCTTCTTCCTAGTCTGCCTTAGTCTGGAAGCTCTGCTGAAACATGTCCATCGTGGGTGACCTCGCTGGTATTTGAAATACTGGTGTTATAGCTTTCAGCATCACAGCAACATGCAGCCCCCACAGTATGACAACCGACTGATGGGTGGTGTAGTTTCCTGACCAGGAAACAAAATCAGGCCGCAGCAATGAGAGCACCAAATATTAACCACTAGACCATCAGGGCTGGCTGTTTCTCCAAAAAAGACATACAAATGGCCAACAAGTATATGAAAAGGTGCTCAACATCACTAATCATCAGGGAAATGCAAATCAAAACCACAATGAGATATCACCTCACAGCTGTTAGGGTGGCTATTACCAAAAAAACAAAAGATAAGTGTTGGCAAGGATGTGGAGAAAAGGGAACCTTGGTACACCGTTGGTGGAAATGTAAACTGGTATAGCTATTATGGAAAACAGTATGAAGAGTCCTCAAAAAAATTAAAAATAAAACTACCATATGATCTAGCAATGCCACTTCTGGGTATTTATACAAAAGAATTGAAATGATATCAAAGAATATCTGCACTCCCATATTCACTGCAGCATTATTCACAATAGCCAAGATATGGAAACAAGCTAAATGTCCATCAATGGATGAAAGGAGAAAGAAAATGTGGTATATATAATGGAATATTATTCAGCCTTTAAAAAGAAGGAAATCCTGCCATTTGCGATAACCTGCATGGACCTGGTGAACATTATGCTAAGTGAGATAAGCCAGAATCAGAAAGACAAATACAGCATGATCTCACTTATATGTGTAATCTAAAATAGTCAAACTCATAGAAGCAGAGAGTAGAATGGTGGTGTCCAGAGGCTGGTGGGAAGGAGGAAATGGAAGGTGATGGTCAAAGGGTACAAAGTTTCAGTTATGAGTAAATAATTTCTGGAGATCTACTGTGCAGCATAGGTCCTATAGCTAACAATACTGTACTGTACACTTAAAATTTGCTAAGAGGGTAGATTTTATGTTAAATATTCTTGCCACACACACAAATATAGTAATAAAATGGGCAGGAAGAAACTTTGAGAGGTGATAGATATGTCTATGGTCTTGATGGGCTGATAGTTTCAAACGTGTATACTTATTCCCAAACTCAAGTTGTATACCGTAAATATGTACAGCTTTGTACATGCCAACCATAACTCAATAAAGTGGTTCTTTAAAAAGCAGTCTTTCTGTTCCTTTTATATTAATATTAGAGGGTCACAGCTTTCTTTGGCACATGTTCCAATGTCTTATGCTGTCGTAACTATAGAGTTAGTTCTAATATCTAAACTAAAGCTTTCTTTGTGTATATTCTTTTTGTTAAGAATAATTCTGTTTCTGCTTGTAACGATTATAATAATTCTTAGCTATCATAATAATAGTAACAGACAGGCTTTGAATCCCAAAATAAATAGTGCACACATATATGATACATAAAATGTTATATTTAACATCTTGTGCCTATAAAGTGGAAATTTTGCTGTACACAAGAGCCCTCAATATTAAATAAATACCTGATAGATCTGGATAAACATAAGCAATAAGGCAGGACCAGTTAAAATCACTGTCAGATGATGATGCTAGCTAAGATTTATCAAATGCTTGCTCGACACTGGGCACTGCTTTACCAGCTTTCCATGCATTGATTCATTAGTTCTGAAAGATACCTTCTAGGGTAGGCACCATTATTTTGCAGATGAAGAAACTGAGGCACAGAGACCTACGTAATGTCTCCGAAATGACACTGCCCATAAATGGTGAAATCAGGATTCAATCCCAGGCAGTTTGCTTCCGGAATCTGTGCTCTTAACCAAAAAGAAATACTGCAAACTCAGAAGCATTAGCTGAGATTTCTTGTCCAGGTAGATGTGTTCTACTCCAACAGATGCCTGATTCCTTTCAGTGAGCATCCTCCACAAACACGGGTATGAGCTACCCGTGCCGTCCAGCTCTCATTCAGTGTATAGAGATTATCTAAAATACTCCTCTTGGTCATCCAAGAGATTTGACATGCAGCATGATGCAACTTCAAAATGAGCACACTAGATGGTCTGGAGACAATCTTTCATCACATAAAAAAGATCAGTTTTAGAAAATAAAAGACACAAGGAACGAGTAGAATCCTCACACAAGGCTATTTTAATTTTCTTCCATTTTTTTCCCCTCTATTTGCTGCACAAATTAATCTTCTGCCAACACTGGTCGATATTTTCTTCCATTTCATCTGCACACATTTATCCACAGCAACTCATTCCTTAAAAACGCACATCTATCTTCATTTCCTCTTTCAAAACCTAACTGAAATCCATTTCTTCTAGGATGTCACTTTCTGACAATGACTGGAGGAGTGTAGTGGTTAAGTCTATAAGTATAACATGAAACATAAAAATCAATTCTTCATTTGCCCTGGAAAAATCATCCATCCTCCTTTATTTCTTAGCCCATTCTTCTCGATCTCATAATGGACATGCAGCTTCTCCTCTTGAATCCAAGTTATTATGCATTACACCTAAGACTCAGAAGAGTTTCTTGAAATTTTACTTCCATTTGTTGGATGCTTGAAGAAACAAAGTCCTATGTGTAATTAATTATTTTTAAAAATGCTTCTCTGATAAAGTTTGACATTTCATAAAATTTACTAAGTATTATAGCTTAACACCTGCGGTGCCTATGCTGGAAATTCATTTTATAGTTTCAGAGGAAACAGATTATGCTTTATTAAAAAAAATGTGCCATGCAAGATAAGCTATGATTTTAGCAACTACCCTGTCACTATGACCTGGAAAGTCCCTGTTACACGTATTCAATTATCTGCACTCACAAGTATCATGAACTCGCTAATAAACTGGAGCATTTAGATAACTGCTAAAGCAATAAATAGCATTTATAAAGTCCAAAGTGATCGTTCTGCTCCCCTCCCGCCCAATAAATTTCTATTAAGACCAAAGATATTTTCACAGCTTTATCTGCTACCAGTAAAGCAAAAGTCTTAGAACAGCAGTTCTCACCTTGGCTGCTTGGTCAGAGTTACCTGGGGAGATCTTAAAAATCTTCACGCTCAGATTGTGCCTCAGGTCAATTAAACCAGACCCTCCAGGGTGGGACCAGGCAGCAGTATATTCTAAAGCATTAGGTGATTTCAACATGCAGCCCAGGGTGAGAACCAATGCTTTAGAAATACAGGGAAAACATCAAGTATCCTGTTTGTATGGTGTACGAACTTATATGTCCAAACTGAAAGCTTTGCTCATCTGTACTTCCATGCATCTATGAACCCGATTTGAAGAGACCACAGCCAAATGAAGCTGTTATGATTGAGATGTGGAGATTGACCCCTAAGGAAAAAGGAGTGAGGAGCCAGCATACGTCTCTAATGATTTAGGACCTTTTTAGGGAGAGAGAAGAGGAACGAGAAGGTGTATCTTGGAATTGCCAGGATACAATGGAATTGTATTTTAAAAATCTACATGCCGGGGCCAGCCCCATGGCTTAGCAGTTAAGTGCGTGCGCTCCGCTACTGGCGGCCCGGGGTTCGGATCCCAGGCGCGCACCGACGCAACGCTTCTCCGGCCATGCTGAAGTGGCGTCCCACATACAGCAACTAGAAGGATGTGCAACTATGACATACAACTATCTACTGGGGCTTTGGGGAGAAAAATGGAAAAAAAGGAGGAGGATTGGCAATAGAGTAACGTCAGGGCTGGTCTTCCTCACACACACACACACACACACAAAAAAAATCTACATGCCTGTTGGTCTTTACCTCATCCACATCCCTCCAGATTCTGACAAGCATTTCCAGAATAGGAGATAGGTTGGGTGTCTGTTTCGGGTAGTGTCATTATCTCATTCTTTGTTTAGATGTGGAAAGGAACACAAAATTGTTTTATTTCTCATCTTCCATAGATTTAGGCATTTCATTTCTGTTGACACTTGACTTTTCCCTAGAAGTGTGTCCTACTCACTCCCAAATTAAGAGTTCGTATAATTAGAAGTTTTAAAAAATTCAATGAAAATGACTGCCCTTACCTTCCCTGACTTTGGTTCCTCCAAGGACCATTGCAGATATGCCAACAGATGAAGACAGGAGCCAAATACAGATATTGATGATCTTTGCCTTCAAGGGTGTGCGGAAGTCCAAAGCCTTGACAGGGTGGCACACAGCAATGTATCGGTCCACACTCATCATGGTCAAGGTGAATATGCTGGTAAACATGTTATAGTAATCGATGGAAATGACTATCTTGCACAGCACATCCCCAAATGGCCATGAATTCATGAGATAGACGGTGCTCTGGAAGGGCATGCTTGTAGTAACTAAAGCATCTGCCAAAGCCAGGTTAAATATATAAATGTTAGTTGCTGTCTTCATCTTCGTGTATCTAAAAGACAAGAAATACGATCAGTTCTCTCCATCTTCACGTCAAATCCATGAGGTGAATGTGTTTGTGACAGCCTTTGGACTACTAGATTTGTTTTTCATTTATTTATTCTCTTTACATATTTATTGAGTGTCTAATATATGAAAGGACTGTTTTAAACATTAGGGGTAGAAGAAAAATGGGCAAAAACCTCTGACTTTATTTAGCTTTTTTTCTAGTACTTTGCTCAAAAACTATTTAAATAAAAATAAACAGATAAAGAGTGTAAATAGAGAAATAAATAAATACACCTATGGATGTTTTCAACAGACTTGCATATATACAGGTCTTTATTTTGTGACTGCAAATTCATTTTAATCCTACCCAGAGTTGCTTGGCTTTAAGCATTTTTTCTACTTTATTTTTTTTTCTTTCACTTGTGTAAAACAAAGACAAAACATACTCAACTTCTCCTCAGGGTTACTTTGAGAAACCAATCATTGTAATTATAATGTCTTTTGAAAATGCAAAATAATTTTTATTTTTTAAATACATCCAATTTCAGTGGCTAAAACACAACTAAGTTTGTTGATTGCTCTTTGCCAACGTGCCACTAGTTTTTCATTTTAAATGCTTTATGTAGATAAAGCAGGCAGGGTTCTTCCCTTATACGTCATATCACTAAATGTAATCTGATATAGTAGATGAGAAATAATTCTGTTTTTCTTTACTCTTATCCTGAGAGATTTTTAAAGCACATAATTTGTTTCATCTTCCAATGAGGGGACAGTAATTTTCAAAGTAAGTTAAAAAGATTGCCTTTAAGCCCAAATTATTCTTTCCATTACAACACGAAATTTAGAACAATTCCATTTTCAACCAAAACTGAATTAAGAGGGTTGTTTTACTCAGAGAATGCTTCCTCAAGGATACACAGGGCATGAAACATTCTAAACTATATAAGCAGATTTTCAGAGGCCAAATGCTAAGATACGTTGGGAAAATTCATATAATTACTTTCTACACACCTCAGATTTATACATCACATCACAATTAATTCAGCCATGCCCCATATACCTTCAAGGAGCCAGGTTTCTTCAATGTTATGGCGTTGACTTTTATTAAAGGTCATTTATAAGGAGCTGTCTTATGGACAACTACTTCTGCTTTGGCTATAAAATCAGTATGAATAGTATTTATTGATCACTACATTGGTGTCGTTCATTACATAAATTTCCACTTGAGAAACTTCTATCAGCATGAAGTGATAGAACAGCCTTGGCTCTCCTTGGAGGCAGTTTGGTATAATGTGAAGTCAAATAGCATCGAGTCTGAACTCAGCATAGGACTTTTCTGAGTTTCAGTTCCTATTAAATAAGGATAATAAAACTGAACTGGCAGTACATGAGGCAAAGACAGTAGATGACCTGACTCAAAACACCTGACACATGGATCACACTTCCCTCTGCACGTCCCACTGCCTCCCTCCCCCACCAATCTTCCCCTGCTCTCTTCTCTTCTGGTTAGGAAACAGATTTGTCTGTGCTTGGATGAAGGCATTATAAAGACTGGTACTGGAGTCAATATGTTTGGTTTCCATTTTGATGCTCTGTTAACTAAACAGTGCTTTAATCTGGAGCATGAGGAGTTTATTTAAAAATATGTTTTGCCTTTAGAGCTTTTACTCAAATATTATTAAATGAACTTTAAGTTTTAGAAAGTGATTGAACATGCATGACCAACGCTCAGAGGATAGGCTTTATCAAGGCACAGATAACTAAGCAAGTGCACTTACCAAGACACAGCCAAGTGCTTCTAATGAGCAAGACTGAAATGCTATCTGTTAAATAGTGTCTTCTTGAAAATATGAACTTATGTTTCAAAATGCATCTTACAAGTCAGCCTCCTAGTCTTTCAACATTTTCCCTTCAAATCCCCGATATTAGCAAGGATTTTAGCAGGCAATATCTTTGACTTCTACTTTCCTATTTTGTGACCTTGATATTCTCCTCTTTCTTTATGAAGTTAGACTGATGGTCTCTGCCTTACAGTTAGGTAGACCTGGATTCTAGTCCTTATTTTTCCCTCCAATGAATAGACTTTGGAGAGGTCACTAAAAATTCTGAGCTTTAGTTTCCCAACTATAAAATGGGAAATATAATGCTTATTTCATAGACTGCTTGAGATAATTAATGGAATGCACCTGATCAGGAGAATATGTCTAACTTATTTCATGTTCTCCAACTCCTCTTCCCCCTCTTATGTGGGTGGAAGCCACCAGTTGCCATGGGAAGCAGAGAAGAACATAGTTTCTAATTAACACCCATGGTAGTATTTACCCAATTCAGCTTGAATATAAAAAATAAGAGTAAAAATGAAGCCTGGGACCTTACATGCTAGAAGAACATGAATGGAATGATATGAGAGTTCCAATAAAATATAATACACATCTTTAATTATAAAATGTTCAATGGTAACTTGCTCTTAGCTTTTCAAAAATATATATAACAAATACATATATGAAATTGCTTAAGGCTTGAACTTATATAGAACTCAAATCCTGTCATCAAATCTCAGAATAAGAAAGATGAGTACCCACAAAAAAATGTCTACAAATTGTATTAACTAATTGTAGCAAAAGTTCCTGCTCCCAGAGAAACAAGTTCTGCCCAGATCACTCATGTAGGACCTCCTGCTGCTACCATCTCCAAGGCTCAGGAGACATCGACCAGGGACTATCGAGGTGCCTGCGCTTTCCTGCTGTGAGACCCCTGGATCTGCCAACATCCCAGTGTCATGGCATCAACCCCATTTTGAAATGGTTCGTGTTAATGACAATAACCATAATCATCATTTATTTCAAAACACTCCCTGTGTCAGGCACTCACCTGTACACCCCCCATGCTTTATCCCAGTTAGTCCTCACAGCAACTCTTTGTGGTAGACATCAGTATCCCTATTCTATAGATAAGGCCACTGAGAACCACAGGAGTTATGTAAATTTCTCAAAGTACAATAGTTATAAAAGGCACCACAGGAATTCAAACCCAGGGGTTTGATCCCAGTCCCCGTATTCTTACGTCTCCCCAGCACTTTATAATTTACAAAGCCCAGTATTTTGACTTCCGTGTACCTTATTTGATTCTCATAACAACTGCCCTCTGAGTTTACCCAGGAGATGTACGTCTTTTCCCTAACACAGCTGAGGAAAGTGAGACTCAGGAGAGTTCAGCGATTTCTCTAGTGTCAGCAGAGGCAGGAGCTCAGTGGGAGGATCCAGTAGTGGCAGCAGGCCAAGGCCCCTCTTCCAGGGTTCTGGAAAACACATGCTTATAAACCTACAACACTGAAAGGGAGAACTAAATAGGTATAATTAAAAGTAATAAACTATGAGTTCAACAAGTATTTATTAACAGTCTTTTATGTACTACACTGGACTGGCTCCTGTGAATACATGTTTATAAGACAAGACCCTCACCTTAAAAGACAGTCTGGTTGAGCACTTGGGTATTGGTTGTATTTAACCAAAATGAAAAAGTAGTTAGTACTTTCAGTCATTGTATATCCACTGGTGAAAAAAAACAAGTAAGCTTTCTTACTATGATAGGATATTATTTTCCATTTCATCGACACTACTTTACAAAAATTCACAAGTATTTCAAGTAAAATGGCACCATCTGGGTGGGAAGTTCTGGCTTCTATGGAGAAGCTGGAGGTGGGCTGGCAGCGAGTGGTTGCACTTTTTAGCGTACACACCGCAGGAGCATATGGCACTAAAAGAGCAAAGTCTGTGGGCTGTCCTCACTCAACTTGACAATGTTACAAACCTAGAAACAACAGTACGGTTTACCAGGTGGTATGCATGGGGCAGGCCAAGAAGACGGGTCAACTAGGGAACTCAGGGTACCAGCCGTGAGGAAGGTCATTGCCAGGCAACATGGTGGAGGGTGTCTCTGGGAGTTACAAATGCTCGCCATCACACCTTAACTCAACACCTTCCTAGTGTGGTTTCCTTTACAGAGAATTGAGCAGTGGCTTCTCAACTGGCAATCAGTCATGCTTGTGTGATGATGAGGGGAACAAAGTTATCTGCTGAGCTATCAAGAACCAATGTCATCATGCAGGGTTTCTGGGAGAGTGTAGCACTTGCCATGCAAGAAATGAGCAGGAGGAACATTGACCTTGCAACACAGTGGTCTCTTCCTGTCCTTTCCATGTGCTCTGAAAATATGCAGGTAGAAGAGCTCATTCTTGGATTATTAGCATCCCTCGCTATTGAGGTGCATTGCCCAAGTGGTTTCTTTTTTTAACTTAAATGATGCTTCTTTAATCAGGAGCTCCTTTTTAGCTTTATGATAACACGATAAAGCCATAATCTTGATGGCTAATCACCATGTATCTTTAAACACAAACACATTTTCAGTTTCACTGATTTCAGTTTTTTTAGCCCTCACCTGCAATTGTCCCCCATGTTGACATACATCCTCTCTTCTCTCTCCAGTTATGTCCGTGCTCCCTCCCCTGTCTTCATCCTTTCATTATTTCAACACATTTTTAAGTGCCCACTCCATACACAGCAATATACTAGACACTGAGGATGGCTGAAAAACAAATTCAGTAAACAGATCCTGCTCCTAGAATCTTTTAAACTACTTGAATCAAAATTGTAATGTGAACCACAGGGATAACCCAAAGGGAGAGCCCAGGGCGGAGTGAAGAGAGAAGCTGGATAGGAGCTTGCGCTTTGAGAAGGACGTGGAGAGACAGAGAGGCTTGGCGGCGGGAGTCTTGTTCAGGGATGAGCGGTCCTGTTGTGGGGTAATGGGAGGCTGGTCGGGACGAGAAAAGGGGTGTCAGGCCACCGAACCTTGAGCACAAGGAGGAAAAACCACTTTAGGCAGTTATTGAGGACTAATTATGTGACAGACACCGTTTCAGGAACTTCACATTATCTGGCAAAGTTGTCACGATGATTAAATGAGACGATGCCTCAAATTACTTTGCACAGAACTTGGCACTTG